ACCAGATGGCCAAAAGTATGCGGACACACCTGTTCACATACTTGTGAATTTTTGGTCTGAAAGTTGCAGAAAAATGTCATTATATATTTGCTTTCTTGCAAAGAATTAGATTAAAAGATTGATTCCACTTGCCATGCCTGTCAATATGAAGCCAACACCACCAGTTAGCTTAGCTTAGCACAAAGGCTGGAAACAAGGGGAGAGTTGAGGCCAGTGTTTGTGGTAGCTTCTTATTTACTGTGCAGAGATAAGAGTGGTATGGGTCTATTCATCTAACTCTCTGCAAGAAAGCTGATAGGTGTATTTATATATCTATGTATATATGTAAAACAGTGAACCATTCCTTTGGAGAAAATCTTATTGCTGCAGCATGCAATGACATTTTAGATAATAGTGTGCTTCCAAATTTGTGTTAACATTTTGGAGAGGACCCCTCCCTGTCTCAACATGACAATGCTCATGTGCCCACAATGAGAGGTCCATAAAGAAATGTTTTTTCTGTGTTTGGTGTGGAAGGACTTGACTGGCCTGCAGATTCCTGGCCTCAACCCCAGCCAAACACTTTTGGGGAAAGTCTTCCCAGAAGAGTTAAGGCTGTTACAGCAGCACATTAATGGCCATGCTTTGGAAATAAGATATTTAAAATTCACATATGGATGTAATATTCCGTTGTCCACATACTTTCGTCCATAGAGGGTAATTTTCAGAAGTAAAATCTAATTGCGAGAAAGCTCTTCGCGGCATCCAAAGACAAAAATGTGTCCATTGATTGGAAATGGAACTAGAACAGAGCCTGGGGGTTTTCCTCCACGCAGAGGTCGACTGCTCCAACACTGTTCAGACTTGGAGGGGTGCCGGGAGCTGGTGGGTTCCCATAACCCATCGCCCCTTTACCCTCACACACCCTCATACCCCTCCATTGGGAATCACAGCCAGAGGGCAGTTGTAATACACCAATTTAGAGCAAAGCTTGTTAATTTACTCCCTCAGCTCCCCCTCCCTTCTGCTCCTTCTACTGTCTTCACGCGCCCCTCAACTACACACCCACCCACCCACCCACCCCGACCCCCTCCACTCCCTTTTTTATTGCCTTTTTGCTTCAGTTCCTTCAGCTTGGCACGGTGCCTGCTCCATCTGAGAGGCCTCCTGATTGTGCTCTGAGTACCTGAGCACACACACCCACTCACACAATTGCACACAGACAGCCCCTGTTTCCTGGCTAATCTTTTTTTGGTATTTTCTGCAGTATTATAAGAATTTCCTTACTAGCCAGTCATCCTATGTAGAGCTTACCACTTTCATAGTGCTTACAAGTTTATATTCCAGTCACTAGCAACCTAGTCCTGCAATAATATTTATGGCTGACACTGGGATCTTATTGCCCACATAAAGCTAATTTCACTCTACATTGATAGACAGCAAATGAAAGGACTAATGTTGTTTCCTTTTTTCTTTTTTTTTTTTTTTTTTGCCAACCCCTTCCTTTTTGTCAACCATGTCCCGCTCTGATAGGAACAATAAATAATTTCAGTCCCACAGAATCAACACTTTCAGCTCGCGAGGCCATTAAAATGGTAATCAACCTGCCCAGTGGGCTGACAACGGACTGTTTTCCATACGCCTGCAGACATAGTCAGATGGGGGAATGTGCGGAGTGTGGGGCAGCGGCATATGTGTGTGTGTCCATGTGTGTGAAGGTTGTGCCATGGGTGAAACTCTATTTCTTTTGGACTCTGTTGAGAGAAAAGGTGCGTTAAACTCTTGTGGTCATTACTCACTGATTTGTGGTTTTAGCTGAACATTAAGTACCTGCAAATAGCCATCAATTATAAGAGGACATTAAGGCTAATGTAAGTGTTAAACAACAACCTCAGGTTGACAATAAACACTGCTCACTGTAACCCTCAGGGTCTTAAAGATGAAATAATCTAATTATTCTAATGAGTCAAACTCATTTCAGACCTCTGTATAAATTAAGACCTGCAGCAGGGACTCAGTCATGAACCCTGGTGATAAGCCTGAACATGACCAGGCAAATGCGCTGTATATGTCTGTGCATGCCTGTCTGTGTGGGAAGGTATGGCAGGTTTAAAAACATACATGGGAACATAAGAAGTCAACTTTATCTGGGATAGAGAGAACTCTATGTACCATGTATGTTACCATGTGTGGCTATTAAAACCTCATAACCATAAGTGAAATGATCAGATACAGTATGTATATCTGTGTGTGTGTGCTTGTGTGCTTGTGTGTGTGTGTGTGTGTATGTGTGTGTGTGTGCACGCTTGGAGTGTCACTGTGACATAACTAGGTCTCGGCCTATGATGGGCAGCTGCTGGGAAAAGGGAGTCTGTTACAGCAGGGTTAAGTAACACTAGAGCACAAGGTTCAGTGCAGCCAGGAATACTTGCACATGCACACACACACACACACACACACACACACACACACACACACACACACACACACACACACACACAGGTGCATCCACCTAATCTTTCGATTATGCGAAGACACACAGATGAAAGACGCACACACTCAGAGAGTTAACAGACATGTTTACAGGTGCTATTTTGAGATGCTGTCCGTCACTCCCCCGCCATACCAGAGCTTCTCTTAGCACACATTTTAGCAGCTCCAAACAGTCCTGCCCCTCCAAGCACACAACTTCTGCTGGAAAACTCCTCACACATACTGGTATGATCTGTGGTACCAAAAAAGGCAGAGTGGTCCAACACATGAGCTGTCAAACTCACACTCACAATTCAAGAATGATTCTGATTTGATTTTCTTCATCATGACTGACTTATTTCAAACTGTGGCATATTTCATTCAACACAAAAAATAAATATTCAGATTGATACCCAGCCCTTAGAAACACAGACTGTAGATTAAAATCAGGACTATATCATGGATGACATCAAGTGTACAAAGTGTAAATACTAGTAAATGACTGAACGGTGAGTTTCTATTAAAAGCATATCCAGTGGCCTCTCTTGGTTAAAGACAATCTAAGGTGATAAAAGATTTCCAAGTGTTATGCTTGGTTGTCTCAACCCACTTTTACCAGGGCTAATGGTTAACTGACAGAGATATGAAGCAGAATGATGTAAGTGGGAACCTGGGAGAGAAACCCAGTGGGATTACTAGGATTTGCTCAGCAAATCTCCTCAACAAAGGTGCCCTGACTGCATGAAACTGTAGGTGTTCAAACCCGGCTCTGTGTGGAGGTGAAACCTAAGAGTCTCTAAGAGTGAAATGGAGAGCAGAGGGGCTTCTGAATACGTCCCTGTATAGTTGTAGACTTCTGAACACCTGGCTCCTCAAACTGGCTTTGGTTTCACGGGCTTTTTCACTAAAACCTGACTGCAGCTTGTGACATTTTCAGGCCTTAAATGCAGAGGAACCTGCTTTGTCTGTTCTCTAGCGATGTATCACCCTAAAGAAAAGTTTCTGTTAATGGACTTCATCTAAGCTTTATGGTAGCATAACTCTGTTTGAAAAAGACACAACTAGAGTCTGTAATTAAAAAAGTTTCTTATGAGAAAGCTAAAAAAAAAAAAAAAAAAAAAAAAGCTGCAGCCAACATTTATTGACAGTCCATGTGTAACACTAGACCACCGACAGCCAGGCCCTCATGCCCGAAATTCCAGGAGTAACAGCCCTGCATGGTGATGGTGAACCGGGCCTTGACTTGGTGGGGTTACACCCACAACCTCCCTCTCTGCTCTTCACTGGACCATATCACATAGCAATACTTGAGAAGCCCTGACAAAATATGGCCTATAGGCTCCACACCCCATGGGACAGGTCCTTCAGTTTCTGATGGGTTATTAATCTCCGCTCTCTGACCTTCTGCCTCTCCCTCCTACACACTGTCTCTTTTCGCGGGTCCCATATGTCTTTTGGGTGACCAGATCACCGCCTGTAAAATAAGCTGTACCCTTAACACCTCACCTAAACTCACGGCAACCCAGTAGTTATGTAATTCCCCCATGGCAGGATCAGCAGCCTTGGCAGTTGCCTACCTGACCCAAGAGACTGACACATCCTTGGCAAGGTTTACATAACAAAAGGCAAACAGGGCAATGCCTCTGTGGTTACAGTAGCATGGTGGAAATTCAGCTTCTAAATTTATGAGCAAAAAAAATGAAGGGATGGAACCAAGTCATTATAATATCACTATTCAAAACCACAAGAAGACTAAATGACTGTAAGTGCACTGGATGGATTTTTCATAGTGGAGGTAATAGTCATAAAACCAGAGGTCTTATTAGGATTCACGTGTTTCCACATGGCATTATTGTTATTAAATCGTTTTGTTTACATTCAGCTCCTTGTCCTATTAATGGATTAGCTGCTGCTCAGTAAACTGTCTTATGTAATTGTATCATTCTCTGAGCGTCTTAAACGCGGGTTGCGTCACTCAAAATAGGCCACTGTGTTTCCAGACAAACCGGTTGCAACGTTTCTGTTTGCTCTAATTCCACACATGTGACTGTGGCTGTGGCCTCAGAGGAATATTATGCACATAACTCATCAGAAATGACTTAAAAAAAAAAAAAAAAAAGACAAAAGGACATGCATCTAATGCAAATTCAATCAAACCCCACAGCCTTATTTGACTGTAAAATGTCCGGGGATAACTGCAAGATATCATGTTTTGGTCAATTTAAGAGATAATTATGTGTGGTTCACCAAACCTCACGCATCTTAACGAGATTAATGATCTTAAATAACCCCCTAACGTGATGCCCCCCCCCCCTCTTTTTGATTGCATTTACCGACTGATCTGTAATTTCCATTAGAATGACAATGAAAGCCATAATGGGAGCCAGACTTTCCAAATAGTCGCTCGTAAAAATAAGACCGCTGTGGCATAATTGTGTGCGTGTGAGTGTCTGTGTGTGTACGTCAGTGGGTTTACAAGCCACATGCTTTTTGTTTTTGTTTTGATGGAGGAGGGGGGGGGGCATGGGGGGTGGGGGGGCGACTCTTACCTTCCATCCTGCAGAGCTGTTGCTGTCGCCTTTGTCTTTGAAGTAGGGGATGGATCTTACCATCCAGTCATAAATTTGGGACAGTGTCAGTCTCTTGTCCGGCGCGCTCTCAATAGCTTTGGTTATCAGGTCGGCGTAGGAGAGATTTCCCCAGGCGTTTCGGCGAGATGATGCTTTCCTCGGGGTCTGCTGGGCAGCCAGGCTGCTGGGGGTCATCGCACCAGAGGTGGCCGTCGGGGAGTGCGTGGAGAGCGGGGAGCCTCCGCTCTCCTGGCCCGGGGATGAGAGCGCTCCATCGGCGATGGGGCTGTTGCTGCTCTGGTCCTCTGTCGCCACGCCAGAGCCATTGACACTGATGGCCGTAGGGGTGGCATTGTCCTCTTCATCATCCTCTTCCTCGGGGATAATATCTGTGTCATTGCTCTCCGGTTTCACCGCGTTCGAGTCTGGTCGTGGCAGCGGCCAGGTGCAGGATCTGGGCCGCTTCTGGGGCTCGAAGTCCGGGTCGATGACCACGTCCAAGTCCGGGAGTGGATCGGCTAGCGGAGCCTCAGCCATTATCTCCTGCTCAAGTCAAAACCTTGCCCCCGCTGCCAGGTAATAAAGTTATAAGACAAGAGATGAAGAGCTGTCAAAGTCGCGTCCCATGAATGCGCGCTCCCGTTCTTTGTTGCTATTCCACACCAGCGAAGTCCCAACAGGGCTAAGAGCAACTTAGTTATTAACGCCTGTTGAGGACATAAAGAAAGAATAAATAAACCCCAAAACACTCGGTTGGAGCCCAGTTAAAACACAACCTATCCTCCAACAGATATCCTACAACACTACCGCTGAATGTGTAGCCTAAAACATTCCGTCAATGAAGCGGTAATAAACTCTTTCTTAAAAATACCAAAAGGGTTTAAATGAAGCTGTTGCCTCTTTGAGCTTCACTACATTCATAATAACACACTACTTGCTCATCAATAGGAGCTCTACACAAAATCCCGTCAATGGTGCAAGGATCTGAATCCACCTACTGGAGATCATTGGAGGGGAAAGTGCTCAAACCTCATCACTCTGGGAAATAAATCCCCTCTGAACACTTTAAATGAAATACCTTGCACGGCCAGTCACTTGCGCTCCGTGGTAGCAATAAAAAAAAAACCCAGAAGAAACTAGATCCTGGATTGTCCACAGCCACTTCCCGATGCCATCTTGACTCTTTTCTTCTTTCACTCCTCAAGTGCGCTCAGCCGATATAGAGACAGATAGGATGCATGCAGGGCAAGTCAGTGTCGATGTGGAATAAGACTGCCACCTCACTCTGGGTTACTACTGTATCTCGATTTGCTCTCCACACAGCGCTGCGTGCGTGCGTGCGTGCGTGCGAGCGTGCGTACACACACACACACACACACACACACACGAACACGCACACAACCACACACATACATACACACGCGCGTGCGCACACACACATACACACACGCATGCAAGTCGATCAAGGGCCGGCCCCCTGGATCCTGTGCATGGGATCGCCTTTTAAAGAGACACTGCAGTCCTACAGGACCGCGCTGCTTCAGCTCAGGTAGAGGCTAGGACACGTCCTGACATGTTACTTGGGCACAGAAACAGAGAGACAGAAAGAAAAAAGAAAAGAGAATCATTAGGCTACAGTGGAATGATAGATTCATTTTAGAAAGGGGTGTTAAAATGGTGTTTACAACTTTAATGTGCAGGATGTCTCATGGTGTCAGTAAAATAATATTTGGTGTACTACAGGTGTGCTACAGGTTTCTACTTTGTTACAAGTCATTAAATTTGATTTTGAAATGGCAGTTTAGGGCTGAAACTTACAATTGAGTCCATTATTGAGGAATGAATTTTGTGATTTTTTTGGCGATGAAACTGTGATGAAACATTTAAGTTTCAGTTATCAAGATTCACCTCTTAAGCACTTTATTAATAGTTGGTTTTGGAATAGAAATAATTTCAAAAAGACCTATAGGCTAGTCATCATCCAAAACATACTACTACAGTACTGTAGTTCACTACAGTAATGTAAACATTTGTCCCTGGAGAAATATTATGATGTTACAGTCATACCATAAAATATGAAACACAATATCAGTGAAAACCTACACTTGCTTTTGAAAGTTTACAAGAATTACACAATCATTTTAGTACAGGATTAGGTAAATATTTACACCTTTTAGGAAACATGAAACATCCTGAGGAGTTTTCATATAAAAATGTACTAATATTACTCTTTGTTCCACAATAGCACATGTGTTTTGATTCTATTTGTATTTAATTTGTACTGTATTTAAATGCAATTACTATATAAAATGCTTTATGTCATATTATTTTGCTAGGCTGTGTGTTGCTGAATTGATCGTGCTTCACAATAAAAGCACTTATATCACATAGATTTCAGGTTTAACCTTCACATATTCACTCCCATCATCCTCTCCTTGCTGCTGTGTGAAGGCTGATTGCGCCTTTAATCACTGAGCAAGACTGTCAATCAAGCCTGTCACGGCGCCTAGACCACGCCCCCTTTAAGTCCAGGGTGACGTCATCGCGTTTATTAGCCAGAGATAAGAGGAGAGAAATCCTAGATGGTTCTCCATCCTGTAAATGATGCTCCCTCCTTCCTCCTCCTCCCCCTCCCCCCTCCTCCCTCCTCCCTCCTCCACCTTCTCCACCTTTGGATAAAAACAGCCTCCTCCACGTCTTCTTTGTTTCACCGAGGACTGCCTGCCGTGCAAGGTGCACGTCCAGATGCGCGAGCTCGTCCGTTCTGTGCAGGAATGCGCGTTCACAACTGACCATAACAAGATATATCTTTAATATCACTGCATGGATTTATGTTTCAGCTTCACTGTATTTTTTGAGTTTATATTTTAGGCCTATACTGTGATTTGTTAAGAGTGAGTGCATTGCTCCCACTGCAGTTTATTAATTGCTAAAAACATAAGTTTGAATATATAGAAGTGTATATTACACTCTTGCATTTGTGTTTTGTTTGTACACTATTTTTGAACTGAGTTCATTGATACACATTTAATCAGGCAGATTGGTGCAGCACACACTCTCTCTCTCTCACACACACACACACACACACACACACACACACACACACACACACACACACACACACACACACACACACACACTCGTTTACAGCTGCAGTCTGGAGTCTGTACTATACAGGATTACAGGAGTTAGTCAGTCTACACATTCACACATTGTGTGATGGTTTTGTTTTCTTCACATCAAAGAGAATACCTGATGCAGCAGTTTGGTTCCTGCAGAGAACTGTAGAGTTAACTGCTCACTGGATGTACAGTGAGAGGTTAGGATGTGTGAATGCACAAACACTGTCAGGCAGAGATATTAAAAAAAAAAAAAAAATCTTTGATATTATTTTCATTCAATTTTTGTATATTAAAATAAATAATTTTTAGCATGCATACTTATTTTGCGATTATTGATGATTGAGTAAAGTGTGGCATTTACTTTTTATCCCATGATGAACCCAATAAACCGATGAAGACCTGCAAAGGTTTAAATCAGTCATTTATTTGAATGTCTCAATACAAAGCCATTTAACTAATAAAAGGCTTTTAGAATATATTCCACTTTGTGTCTGTACGCAGGGTTTGCTTTTAGTTTTTTCATGATTTCAGCCCTTTTCCTTCAAGGGCACCAGTGTTTGTTTAGTGAGTGCATCAGCATAAGTAGCCATTAAGCATATGATTATTTTTCTGAACCTAACATACTGTTTGGATGTTTTAATATTTCTTTGTATAGTCCACAACACAGACTTTTATTTACTTTTTAAATAGGTATAGAATTGCACCTGCAGATTTGAGTAATAGGCTAATACTTATTTGATTATATTTGATTAGACATGTGTTGGTTTATGTGCGGAACAAAATAAGTGTTACATGTGTACCTTAATTACCTGGCTGCAGTATCTCTGGCATTTGGCCAAGTTACTGCGTACCAAGATAAGCCAGCTTCTCCTTACATGCCCCTATTGAAGGCCATAATAAATGTTGCACAAGGCATCAATCATGCACGCAAGTGAGCAAACACACACACACACACACACACACACACACACACACACACACACACAAAGCCAAACCATTTATAATGTTGTGTCTGTTCTTCTTTCCAGGACAAATTCCAACCAACAACTCATAAGCTCTTCTAGGTTGGAGCCACGTAACATGAGGTTTGTATAGTACAATCCAGTGGCCTGAAAACCTGATTGAACAACTGCATCAGGACAATGTCTGAAATCCATTCAAGTACTCAACATACTGGTATTGGCAACAGTGCTCTCTTTCATTCATGTTCACAGACTGTTTAACATCAAAGTTCTATAACCTTATAAAGCTAAATCTAATGAACACTCCAGGCATTAAGGAACTTTTTGTACTGTACATTGTATCCAAACCTAAACATGAAGTAAAAGCAGGAAAGTGTCACAGCACAGGTATAATATTCCCGCGCTCCCGTTTCAACTGATAGGACACTGAGAAAGGGACAAAAGGTGAACTGTTTTCCATCTTCCCTCTGTCAGCATGGGGTATAAGGACTGTTGTCCAGAGAGGATGGAGACTATGGCCACCCCTCTAAGCCAGCGTGAATCATCCAATTAAGACAATCACAAAGCATGTCGGCCATCTCTGTTTGTGTCTGATGTTTCCCCCAAACAGCGTAATGCTCAGATTGGATTAAGGGCCTCGGAATGGGGCGTGATTGATTTTTCTTTAATTGAGAGTTATGGTGGGATAGACTTGGGGCCTTTCCACCAAGTCAAGCACTTTTTAATGATACACATCATGTGCATGTAGCAGTACACACACACACACACACACACACACACACACACACACACACACACACACACACACACACACACACACACACACACACACTGTGCAGCACACACACACACACACACACACACACACACACACACACACACACACACACACACACACACACACACACACACACACACACACACACACACACACACACACACACACAAAGGAGCCATTTACTGTGTCTTAAATCTAATTAGATTATACATTTACTCAGGGGATTTTGCACTTGTTTTATAATACTGGCTACTTGGACACTTGTTACAAACACTGTACCTTATGTAATGGTCTTGGTTAAGAATCTGTAGGAGGTGCTGCTTGCTGTTCTGACTGTAGTTCTCAGGGGGGGCTGCTCCAGGCTGGAGTGGTGCACTAGGATGACCTCATCCTTAGATGGACGCAATAACAAACCTTCTAGCAATTGGTTACCCTCTGCTGCCACCTACAGGCAGACAGGATGGAGTTACACCACGGAGTAAAAAAAAGTCTGCCCTTCAAATATAAATGAAATTCAGATTATGAGAGTAGTCTATATTTTCTCTAACAAAAGTCAAGGTTATCCTTTATCCTTTAATATATTTACAGCAGAGAAAAACCGAGTGAGAATCATAGAAACCCACACTATACAAATAAAATACTATTGCACATGTTACAGCAAAGATTATTTTAATTACCTGCAAAGTGCACTGAATTCAAAACTATAGGAATCAACAAAGTGTATAATATAAAATATTTTGGCATACCTCCAGTGTCTCATTTCATAGAAAAATGCCTGCATGTTGAAAAAAAAAAAGTAGAAAAGATTCTTTAGATGAAAAAACATACATTTCTTACATATGCAAAAGCTGACGAAATGTGAAATAATTGTGACAAAAAAATGAACATTTTGGTTGAAGGACCTACTTTATTAATCAATATGCATTTTTTTTTTTATCTATGACATTGGACTGCTGATCTTGGCCACACACCCACGTTACACTACTTCTTTAAAAGTCTAGATTCAAGAGTTCAAACCTTGCCTGTACTTCTGATAGAAACAAAGTTCCGTGTTAGAAATAGCAACTGTAGTCAAACCATCCTGGTAAAGTGTGAGTCAAAATCAAGATCAGTTCTAATTGATTAAGAATCAATGCCAGGCTAGCAGCTACTGAGCTGAACATACAGATGGCTCATCCGTTCCCTAAATACAAAATTCTGGGCTCATTCATTAAAAACGTGGATTAACATAATGCATAACATTTTAAATTCACACCAGGTTTCACACAGTGAGGGTTTATTTTCAAACTGCACAGGCACTGGTGTAGCTCCATAAAAACAGAAAGAGCTTGAGAACATTTTTCCCTTTCCACTGTCACCACTAGAGGGTGGTAGCCAACTACTGTGAAGGACACTTGGTCCCCTTTCTTTCCTTGAAAGAAGCACCTGTCAGGGTTTCACACATGCTGGAGAGCTTTTTGTACTATGTAAAATAAATAGTCCTGAAGGGGGAGAGAGGACGCCTCTCAGAATAGGACCAAACAGTAAAAAGATATAACACACATGCATAAGATGAAGAGAAGTTCAATCCAAAGGAAAACAGGTATCCAGTTTTACGTAGTTCTATATTTCCTATGGATACCAGGCCTTTTCTGGACAAATTGAAGTAAACTGCTGCTTATTCCCTAAAACATTTAGCTTTGGTCGCCCAAAATAGACTTGATCTGTTCTGTTTCTGCTAAATAGGAGCTTTTGCTTATGCAGCGTCAGTATTTAGTGAGGTACTGAGTTGTCCGGAGGTATATAATTATCCTGGCAGTCAGAACTGGATGTTAGGTGTTTATGTGTTTATTGCTGTGACTGCGGTCTCCCTCCACCCAGTACGACTCGGTCTGCATCTCCATCAGTCTGGAGACGGTCCTCTGGAAGGCAAAGATCTCCTCCTCGGCTGTGAACAGAGTCAGACGCTCTGCTGCCTCCTGAAAAAAAGGAGCCAACACCAGAGTTAGCAGCTAATGCACTCCGGTCCAATCTAAACTGAATGAATAATATGCACTGGGGAGGAAAGTTTCAGGGCATAAGGCTTTGGGTTCGAAAAGGCCAGAGCGGCAGATATGCGGGTGTGAACACTGCATTACTGAAAAAGCTGAAAAGGGTCTCAGTGAAACTTTCCGGGAAAGCATAATATTGTAAAATCAAATAAAACTTCAAGCTGAGCGATTAAAAAAAAAAAGTCACACCTGTGTTATGTGCAATGTAGTGAGGGTTAATAGGTATTTCAAAGTGGTTTGTAATCAAACGCAAATAACATGGTGAAATCTGATACAATAAGTTAAGTAACACAGCATTACATGAAATGCACATTGGACTTCGTATCCTTATATACAGGTATATGTATCCTTATGAGGGGCTATGAGCTGAAAGAAAGAGAAATCAGTGATGTGATTTTCCAAAGCTCATGTATTTTTCGATTGTTGCTTTTCTTCGTTTTTGATATGAGATGATGATGGTTTCCCTGCTGCTGCAGCAGATGTGATCTTACCCCGCTGAGGCCCAGGTCGTCCAGCAGCTGTCGGTCCCTCTCATCCTCCCCTCCAGAGTGGACAAACAGCCGGTCTAAAGGAGCCGCCGCCAGCAGCACCACTCTCACCTGGGACACCGAGTCGGGGGGAAGGAGACAAAGATCAGACACGGGAATGTCCAGTTTGTTTATGGAGGTAACTTATTACATTATTAACGATTAAGAGTGTATTTCCTGTGATCAATATTAACTGAGAGAAGTTCAACATTTGTTAGTACAATACTTATAACTGGTCAATTTGAGGTGTTTTATTGCATTCCTGAGATGATGTGAACATTGACACAATAAATAACAAAGGGATAAAATTACAGCGCATAGGAAGTGAGGTAATATGAGATAGACACAGTGTTTGTTCAGTCTAAACATTCACATAGAAGTAGAAGAATATTTGTGTCCTTTTTTTTCATGCTTTGAGTTGGTTAGTCCCGATGCTACAGCATACAGTTATATTTTAGACAATAATCTGCTTCAGACTTGGTGGCAGAAAATTTGTGTGAAGCCCTTTCCTGTTGCACACACCTGTTTAATGCTGTTGTGTATGTTTAATTTAGGAACGTAATGGGAATGTAATTGTAATGATGGTGATAAGATAAACACAACGGCACAAATATAACTTAGAAATCAAGAGGTAATGAGTGATATGATATATGCCTTTTTTTTTTTTTCCAATCTATTGTTTATTAACAAGCCCATCCCCCATATGTCAGCTGGATAACCTTGTTGTCATAGAAGTTGTCTATGAGGGTGGTGAAACGTCTGGCCTTGTCCTTCAGTGTCAGCGTCAGCCTTGGAACGTGGCGGATAAATACAGTGTCAAAGAGCCGTGCCATCTCCAGGTAGTCACTGGCACCCAGAGGCTGGAAAACAACAACTGAGCAGGTTAGATACCAGAATAAAGTCAGACCTGAGCTTCTTACCTACAACAGCACATCACACTGCACAGAGTAAATAGTTCCAGTGGAGCGTACGCGCACAGCTGCTACATTAACACACTGGGACACAAGAACTGTGAACACTGCAGTCTCTACGCCTGGCCTGAAAAAATGCTAACTGTACAATGGCGGCACCATGTGCAAAAGGTTCAGGCTGATGTCATTTTAGTCCCTGTCCTTGGCCCTTTGCCAGTCAGGATGATTGCTCCCAAACATATGTCGAAAGAAGCCTTGAAGCTCAGATGCCTGCAAAAGCTCTCGGCTGTCCATCAAACTTGAGACGATACACACACTGCAGATTACTGTACCACACCGCTTTATCTGAGGCACAACGGGCTCAACTATTCACAAAATTGTCAATAGACTTGCTTTTTGACATTGAGCAGAAAATAGGACTGAGATGGAGGGAAGGTGATTCAGTTTGAGAGCAATGGCTTGGACAATAAGTACGCAGAGGAGGGAAGAAACAGAATGCAGAGGCAATAATAAGGCAGGGCAGGAGAATTGCTTTGAATTTGAGCAGTTTTGATTAGTCGTGAGTGGATTTTGTGTGTGTGGGTGTACTCTGCGTGTGCGTGTGTGTGTGTGTGTGTGTGTGTGTGTGTGTGTGTGTGTGTGTGTGTGAGCCAAAAGAGAATGAGGGCATCCTGGTTCTCAGGTAGTTTAAAATCCATACTTTCTAACTGGGATATCTGTGGTTTGAGTTCAGCCAGAGGCTTGTCCCCATGTTTCATGTCTCTCTATACTATCAAGCTGTTTAATAAAAGCAACATGCCAAAAAATTATCTTAAAAAAACAAAAAAAAAAAAAAAAAAAAAAAAAAAAAAAGGGAGAAACTAGTGCAGTAAAAGTCTGTGCTCCATTCCTGTAGTCCTAATCTTCTTTGGAAACACAGAAAAGTGACCTATGGCTAAAGATGATTATCTACAGCAATAAGTATTATCGTTAGGAATACATGATGTTATGCAGCTCTTTAAACAGCTGTTTTAATTACCTCATGCTGGCAATGAAGCAACACTAATTTGGATTAAACACTCACTCTGCCACACAGCTCCTCAAAAGTGCAGTCGGCGATGGAGCCACAGGTCTTTTCCAGAGTCACATCTCTGCCCAGCACTGTGAGCACCTGAGGACCTGTAACTATGGAAACACAAACACATATAATAATATTAGTGATCCTCAGTCATACCGTGCCACTGTAGTATCACATTGGATCATTACATTAAAAACAAATCTATCAAAGATGCGAAATTCAAGTGCAACTTAGACCTCACGCACACAGTCAGTCTGGTTGGACGTGACAGTAAATCAGATAACTACTCTTTACAATTGTGCTCAACACGTTGAACCATGAGGGTGATGGGCTACAACAGCAGAACACCACGTCGGGTTTCACTCCTGCCAAGAACAGAGTCTGTGGCTGCAGCGGACACAGGACCAACAAAAGGTGACAGTTGAAGACTGGAAGAACGTAACCTGGTCTGGTAAACCTGGATGTCTGCTCAGCCACGCAGATGATAGAGTCAGAATTTGGTGTCAACAGCATGAATCAATGGACCCGACTTGCCTTGTCCAGGCTGCTGCTGGTGGCGGCGTAATGGTGTGGGGAATGTTTTCTTGCCACACTTTGGGGAGTTTACCATCTTCTAATGGCTACTGCCAGCAAGATAATGCACCTTGTCACAAAACAAAAACCGTCTCAAACTGGTTTCATGAACATGACAATGAGCTCAGTGAACTGCAGTGGCCTCCCCAGTCACCAGACCTGAATCCTGTAGAACAGGAGGTGGGCAGCATGAATGTGCAGGTGACAAATCTGCAGTTATATAAAACTTAACCTGGTAGCTGAAACAAAACCATAAACAGTTTTTGAAACCTCCAAAACTGAATTTGAAATCTAAATGCAAGTTCACGCAACCTTTTAAGGCCCTGGTTTTAGTTTTACTTCTAAAGCTACATGATGAGTCATAATAAAATGATAAACAACCAAGCCTGGCAGTTTTTTTGCTCTTTTTGTTCTGGTGATATTCTATATTTTTCCTAATATCAACAAATCCCATAAAACCAATGCCTGATAAGGCTTATTCCATTGTGCCACATACATCCATTGCTGTCTAAAAACTATTAAATTAAAACTATTATTACTGTTGCACTAGGTGACATTCTCCTTTATTACGGTGAACCACGTCAGCTGTAATTTATTTTAAATCAATCCCGCACACAAAATACTCATGGCGTCAAATACGTATTAATCCACAGCTGAAAATAGTCTGCAATAAATGCTGTATTTACACCTGTGTGAGTAAAATTCATAAAACAAAGTGCAGATGTTTTAAAAAAAAAATGTATTATTTGAAATAAATAAATGAATAAAATGTATATTCATGGCCTGTTTTTTGTGTCTTCAGTCGGAACGAAAGGGAACAGGGTCTGAGAACCACAGGCAGGGAAGGGAAGTCAGAAAATATGAGGAGACAGATGTAAGACACAATGTTGGTTCTGGTCGTTTCATGGGATTTGTTAATATCAAAAATAAAAAAATATCACATACCTTATCCTTCAATGTGGAAAATGTACTTTATTAGCTACTATTGGATGGTGCAAGTGTTATGATGCTGCATCAGATGACATGATTTACCGGGGACACATGGACATCTCTGAAGTCTCCTTATGTAACGAAGCACTTCTAAAAAGTGGACACATTTTCCTGTAAGCTGGTATTTTCCTTACTGCTCTTTTGTCTTAAAGCCAGTTCCTCAAACAGTGCATCCATGAAGGCCTCCGCACCAGGCTCCCCAGTGCTACACACACACACACACACACACACACACACACACACACACACATATTAGCTACTATTGGATGGTGCAAGTGTTATGATGCTGCATCAGATGACATGATTTACCGGGGACACATGGACATCTCTGAAGTCTCCTTATGTAACGAAGCACTTCTAAAAAGTGGACACATTTTCCTGTAAGCTGGTATTTTCCTTACTGCTCTTTTGTCTTAAAGCCAGTTCCTCAAACAGTGCATCCATGAAGGCCTCCGCACCAGGCTCCCCAGTGCTACACAAACACACACACACACACACACACACACACACACACACACACACACACACACACACACACACACACACACACACACACACACACACACACACAACGAAACAGAGAAGAAATAATAGGATATGAAATTAATAATGCTGAAGTGGCCACATCAAACGGTGGCTGCAAGAAGAGCGCGGGGGGGGGGGGTACTTAGCTTTTCACTCCATCAGTAAAAAACAGGATGTTAGGCTCTAAACACGAGCATTACCCTGTGAATGCACGTCAAAATTAGATTTTAAAGTGTGTGTGTTTGTGTCTGTGTGTATGCTTGTGTTTTAACTCCAGGTAAAAAGGGTGTGACGCGCTCTATTTACATACAGTGAAAAGACGAAAGCACTTGAAAGCTGCAATACAGCAATGAGCAACGGCAGTGTCATTCATGCTGCATTTGCCTGCGCGTGTGTGTGCGCGTGTCCTTAACATGTAATGATGGAAATAGAAAACTAGCTTTTAAGCTCCACCATTTTCTCATATTCTATTGATTCCTCTTTTATTCTTTTCATGGATCTCTCAAGGTAATGTAGGTCTTCATAAAACTCCCGGTCTGCTTCTGCTCGTTTATACATCTGTTTGCCTTTTCTTTCTGGCCTTAAAAAAAAAGGAAAAAAAGAAAAAAAAAAAAAAGAAGAAAAATAAAACTAGATGTTGTACACAAACATTTGCTGAGTGTGTTTGTGCACCTGCATGTGTGTGTGTATGTGAATGCTTGTGCGTTATGTTGTGGGTGCAGGTTTATGTCAACTATTTACCAGATGCAAAATCTCTGAGCTGACTTGGGCTGCAAGCGGCGGCAAATTGGGCCCATATTTGCATGTGCGTGTGTGTGTGTGTGTGTGTGTGTGTGTCTGTCTTACAGGTAGTAGAGTTTCCCCGCTGCAACATTGTCCAGCCTCCTATAGTCAATCCCAGCGTCTAGGCAGATGGTGTGGCAGTACTCCTGTACACATGCACACAAAACATAATGTTACAAATACGTTCAAAGGGCAAATATTCATAGTGGGTCTGTCTGAGTTTCAGAGCAGTGCTGGACAGAATACTTCCATTTCATCCCCTCTGGATTTTTGATGTGATGATAGAGGAAACTCCAAATTCACAACACGAAAATTCAAACTGTGGATTTATCTAATTTAATTCAAATGATTTGTTAATTCATTAATCAACAGACATTAAGTGGCTCTTATTTTCACAAGTGATCGATCGTTTAAGTAATTTTTTATTAGTTGTTTTTTCTTTTTTTCTCTCACATTTACACTCCGTCTTACTATGGCTAATTCACTGGATGTGTGTGTGTGTGTATATATATATATATATATATATTGTTTCTGTTTGCACTGGTTAGATGCCAAACTACATTTCCTGAACTTATATTTACTGTGTGCAATGACAGTACAGCTAATTGTCTTATGTGAGAGCAAACTGAATATCTTTGGATTCTGACCTGTTGAATTGTTAGCTTTAGTGAATGCTGAGCTGACATTATATAGATTTAAAAAAAAAAAAATAGGTGGCAGTTTTCATTGGATTCTTGTATTTCAGTATTTTCTTTAGCCAAATCTGAGCAGCGTTGGTAGTGGCACACAGAAAGCAAACTATGCATTGAGAGAATATTCACAAATATGAAACACAAATAGATACCAATGGAACAAGTGTGAAGATAGTATCCGATTAGATGTCATCTTTGATGTTTACATTGTTGCTCCATTCATGACTGAATCCATGTGAAACTGCATGTGAATACTTGAATTTATATTATTTGTGATTTGCTCTATGATATGCTCTGATACGTGCCAACATTTTAAAATTGTGTTTGACTTTGTGACTTAGTCTGCTGCTCGTCTGTCATGTGAAATACGGACGGTAAGAACTTCGTCTCACCGCTTCCTCTCAGTATAAATAATAAAATGGACAAAGAGCAACAACAGAGGGCAGTCGCCTTCTCAGTCTTCTCTGACAGGCTCTGGGATTTTGTGTCACTTCCTCATGGTTTATTGAGCTGATCTATTGTTCCTGTAGCTATTCAAAGTTCAAACTTTTCCAGATAGTGTAAAACGTCAACAGGATTCATGTCAGGGAGTACAGCACAAACTATAATCATCTCCACCATTCTATCAAAGAAAAGAAAGGAATTGCATATCATCCCATCCAAGCCATCGCCTGGCTGACTGAGTATTCAACGACAGCTCCAGTAAATTATGAAATCAGTGAATTTTCTGCCACTGGCCCTCTTAGGCTGCAGGATAATTAGTAATCATCACAAAGCAAGGGGACGGAAATACTCTATTCTTCTCCGCTGTCAACTTTTTATCTCTGTGTCCGCTCACACAAACGGGGTTCCCACTCTGAGCCAATTGGCTGAATCAGGCTTAATAACAACCTGACAAACTCGCCCTCCCCCACGCACAAAAGGGAGGTGTCATTTCATCAACCTACTGTGACCCCACCAACGGGTAAATAGTCCCTCCAAAAAGGAGAAAAAAAAAAAAAAAAAAAAACTTGTCACTATCGCAGCCACATCATTAGAATCTCAGTTTGTCTTTTCTCCTGCCATCTTCTGCTCCCTCCCTTTGTGAAGCGTCTCTACCGACGGTGAAGACTGCTGATGCGTTTCTTGACGGAGGAGCGAGGTACAAATAAGAGAGGGGAAAAGAAGGAGGAATGGAAACACAATCAGTGATGATGATTCCATTGGTTATTTATAATCAGATGAGGCTGGGGCCTTGCAGGTCATTACTTGATTATCCATCTTGAGGGGATTGTCAAGTTCTCACTCCTCCAAGATTTTATCCGCCCACACATTGTGGTCTTGTCCCCCCTCCTCCCCCTCCTGCCCATCCTCCCCCGCCCCGCCGCCACCACGCTCCTGTCTCAGACTCCAATAGTCAGTCTACTTTGCATCATCAAGTCTTACCTCCCCGTCACCGTCCGTTTAGCTTATTCTGTTTAAAAAGGACTCTGATGTATGTTAGCGGAACTTAAATATCTACTGGCTACACCGTTTCGCCTGATTCTAGTGCTGAAAAGATTAACCAATCAACTGATTAGTTGACTGATTAAAAGTTGAATCTTTTCATTTACTGATTAATCGCTTAACATATCTTTTCTATATCATTGTAAAGTGAACATCTTTGAGTTCTGGTCTGTTGGGGGGGCATTCTTCATGATTCTGCGACATTTGAAAGAATATGAAATCTATTCCATTAATCAGGAAAATTACGGAAGAGATTATTCATAATGAAGATGATCATCTGTTGCAGCTCTAGTCTGGTGGCACAGTCACACTTATACTTCTCTTCTTTGTAAAGCGCTGCACACAACACAGACTTACCTACATACTGTATGCTTAATGAACAAAACTACTCTTCATGGAGTACACTGTAGAGCTGAAGGGATTAGTTACTGAACAGAAAAGTAATCGACACTTGTACTGATGATGGATTCATTGGTAAAATCATTTTTCAAGCAGCAGCACTAAACAGTCTCTTGCTTTAGTGTCTCAGTTGCGAGGACTTGTTGCTTCTCCTCATCTTATTGGACAGTGAACTGAATATCTTTGGGTTTTGGACTGTTGGCAGGATAAAACAAGGGATTTTTATGACATAATATTGGTCTTTGGAATGTCGATTTTGACAACCTTGATTTTTCAGTAATTTATGACATTTTATACTAAATAAATGATCGATTAATCAAGAATATAATTGGCAGATTAATCAATATTCAAAATAATTATTAGTTGCAGGGGACTGATAAGGTCAACCTGAGACAGATGTGTAAACTTTGGGGTTTCACTGCTGATTAATACTGGAATACTGTGATTTTACTAAAAATCGCTATGAAATGACTGCGCAAGGTGTTCCTATTAATATTTCGATGCTCAAGCATTCAATTTGGATTTCTTCCTCATATGTGGCAGCATCTCTTTGCTTCCACCATATTGTGTTCACTTCACTTCACGTTTGAAGTTTTGTAGCTGTAAGAAGTTTTCTAATTCTCTAAATGCTCTCAGTCTCACAGCATCAATTTGACTTTGTGACGTAGTCTGAAGCTTCTGTCACTATAGACGTATTTATTGTTGAAACATTTAGAGGAACAATGAAGAGTATTTTCAAAAAAAAAAAAATCTACAACAAATTCAAGAGTCGAGTGTCACCTATCAAACGCCAAAATGGTTTCTGAGCCGTTGGTGAATTTACATTTCGGTGAGGATTTCTCTTTTTATTTCATTGTAAGCTGAATATCTTTAGGTTTTGTTGTTCAGAGAAATTAACTGATTTGAGAAAATTACCTCAGACTCCAGAAGGTTGTGATGGATTTTTTTCAATATATTTTATACATTATATGATATTTAAAAAAACAACAACAAAAAAACAAAAAAACAGACATTTTAAATTGAAAAATAAATTGTTTGTTGTAGCCGGAAGTTTAGTATTATCACAAATCAGGGCTTAATATCTGCTATTTGTCCCAGTGGTGTGAAAAGCAGTCCCTAATTGTAGCTGACTGACAAGACAGAGAGATGACAGACATGAGAATCAGAGTCTCTATAGAAGAAAGTCATCCAAACACATGTAGCTCCAATCATGTCATTGTCCGAGCTGTCCACTGCTCTCTCTGGACAGCCGTTTAGCATAAAAACAGAGTGGCTTTTTTTTTTTTTTTTTGGTTGCTGCCTCTACTCCCCTCTGCGCCCACTCCCTCTACGACATATCTTTCTCTATCCTTTACTCCTCAAAAAGTTGCTTTTGAGTTTTTCAAAGAGCGCGGTGCCATTGAGCTGCAACAAAAGCCAAGGATAGCTGACTATTGGGCCCTGATGAGGTCCACTCCCTCATTACCCGGCAGCAGAAAACATTTGATGCTTTTTTTGTTTGGCCTGGAGAATTGACCAGGCCTCAAAGAAATGCGGGGTGGGAAGGCTGAAAAAGAGACGAAGGGGGGAGAGATGGGGAGAGAGAGAGAGGGAGAAGGGGAGGAGGGGAGAGGTTGTCGTTCATTCAACCATGTGTGTCTTACAGCCTTGTGTGGAGGGACTGAAGAAAAGAGGGAGGGAGGGATAGAGGGGTCGAGAGAGAGACGGGGCAGAAAAGAGAGAAAGCTTAAAACACTGCCTTTATGCTGGCAAGTTCTGGACGACTCTTCTGACATCAAAGTGTTTTCACTAACTGGGGAGCTGCTGTGTGTGTGTGTGTGTGTGTGTGTGTGTGTGTGTGTGTGAGAGAGTGTGTGTGTGTGTGTGTGTGTGGGTGTATGTGGTGATGTTATTCATTCTTGGGCAGTCGTGGGGGTGGGGTGGGGGGGGGGTGGGGGGGTTCGTGACAATGTGAACACCCTAATTACACCTAATGATCTATTCCCTTAAAGTGTGACCGCCTTGGGCCAGCGATGGTTTGTTCTGCGGGGTCGTTCTCACAACCTCCCCCTACCTCGGCTGCTCCTCTTGGGGAAACATCTTTTGAGTTGGAGGCCCCACCTTTCGTGATCCAGGACCCCACTGGACCCCCCACCCTCAACCCCTCTCGAGCTCTGTGGAGGCCCAAAACCCCGAGCCGCGCCGAAACTGGGCGCAGGCTGTGCTTCCTGCACCTGGCCAACAGAGGCTCCACATGCTGGTGGTGGCAACACAGGGACACAAGAAACCGATGCCACGCAGCTGAGAACAACACCCCGTCTTACTTATGAGACCGAAACCAATTGACTAAACTCTTTCTTACGCTTTCTTAACATTTTTTTTGTTCTTGTTTTAGTCTGCCATTTTGTTTTGGTTGCTTTGCCTAATGTGATCAACAATAGACCTACATTACTGAGGTATAAAACCTGTTAGTAACCCACCTCCACCTTCAGATTTACAAAGGAATACATACAGTACAGTATAATGTACTTGTGCGTGCGCATGCAAGCTTGATTAGCCTGCACACATCTCGCAGAAAAACAGGAAAAAAAAAAAAAAAAAAAATCAGTTAGGCAGCAGGAAATAAAAAATCAAGGTAACTGGATCAATCAAAAATTAGACAATAAATAGAGAACGAGTTCCTCATGTTGAAAAGGAGAAAAATTGATTTGTCCTTTATCAATCTTTTTTTTTTTAGAGGCAAGAGACAGATATGAAAGAAGTGAGGTACGCGGTGAGTGGCACTGCCCTGCCACTGAATGCTCTGGAAGACAATGACAGTCATCAAATATCAGCATCCGCTTGATTTGAACTGGCAGGCAGCCAGCTCTTCACAGGCAGTCCTTCTCACCAAGGTCTCCACTGGAGGACCATGTCCCTCTCATTGCACAATTTTTCCGCTCTCCATCAACCTGTTTTTTATTTATATTTTCCTTTTTCTGTAATCACCAACTGCACCACAAACTGCAATTATTAACGGTGACACATACACACACACACAAAAAAGAGCATATTAAAAGACGGGTTAAAAACAGCAGGAAACCAAGAGATACTCAGTTGCTTCAGGGTTGTTGTTGCCCCCCCCCCCCCGCAGCACTGTGCGCAACTGCAATCGAACAGGCAGAGGGAAAATAAAGTCAGTATTCTGCTACTACAATGCAGAGACCTGACCTTGGGTGAGTAAAGCCAGTGAGCAGAACAGGATAGTGATAGAATAAAGAGCGGGGTAGAGGTGCAGAGAGAGGATGGCCGATGAAAAGTGAAGTGGAGAGGGAGGACAGTTTGTGAGAGAGGAAGAGTGTCTTAGTTACAATACTGACAGTGTCCATTAAAAAAAGCCCTTAAACCCTGTATTTTACAGAATGCTGAGCTTTGCTATGGCTACAACTAAAAAGAGGCCTAAACAACTGAATAGATCCCCAGATGGAGTCCACAGTGACGCCAAAAAGAACAAGAAATTACAAATGACTGAGTGAATGAAAGAATGAAAAAATAAATAAAATGAATAGCAGTCAGGGACTTTAAGATTCAGTGAAGTTGTATGATTTCCATGCCCGACAAGTACCTCTACTTAAAAATGTGTGCTTGATCTCATTCCTTATTTTTAAGATTAGGAAACTGGATTATTTGGGGCGCTGCGGAAAAAGGGGTCCCAACTAATCAGAAGTCAACAGTTAAATAAAGACCTCAACCCAGGCGGACGGAGGCGGTGGATTAACCTCTACCACTCTGGCTCAGGTGATAGGGAGGAGAGGTCAGAGGCTATTTTTACTTTCTAACACCCTCATTCATTCGCTATAGAAACACACTCAGGCCGCGCACATACAAGAGTGTGAGCTGCGTCGGGAAGAAGGACCCGCATCGCTGGTCCCTGCAAGCATTAATTCAATCTATTAAGGGTCAGCTAGTTAACAGCGTGACCCCGCTAAAACACGCTTTAACTTTACAGAACAGGCTGCTATAGAGAAGCCATTGCACCCCCCCCCCCCAAAAAAAAAAAAAAAAAAAAAAAAACCCGACCCCCAAAACCAGATGGCCTCACAAAGGGGAACATGGGACCCTGAAAGAGAGGAGGTAGTGCAGGGCAGAGAGGGACAACAGGCATTCAGGACCTTGATGAGGGTGGATTAGAGAGGGCAAGGGTGCTGCTGGGAGAGTAGGTGGGGAGCAGGGTGACTCCAAGGCCTGGAGCGTTTACATTTGTGTCCTTGCCTCTGTGTGTGTGTGTGTGTGTGTGTGTGTGTGTGTGTGTGTGTGTGTGTGTGTGTGTGTGGAGCTCTGGTGACCCTGAAACTGTCTGTGGCCTGGGCCCTGCATATCAACCATATTGCTCTTGTTCAAGCACTCGAGCTGGAATTTCCTGGATTTTTATTTTTTTCTCATGTCGTACTTAACAGTAATCACACTGAGGTTTGTGATGTAACAGGCAACAGGTACATGTAATGGGATCATAATAATCTTGCACCAACATATCTAGAGCCTGACCAATCGTGGAGTTCTGAGGCCAATCAGGCTAGTTATGATGTCTAGGGGGGCGAAAAGGCAGATAACACCACAACAGTATAGTATAGTTTTAAATCTAGTTTACAAAGGGTTATGAGAAAGATACGTACTGAAAAATATTTGTCTTAACACATGTACCAAAATGTGCTCAGATGTGATGCTATGTTAACAGAATTTATGTGCAGATTATTGTAAACTACTGAGTCTGTTGGACAATCTGTGTTATAATGACGCTTTCTAAATTACCCTGCTTCTAAACCAGTATATCAAAATCTAAATATATGGGTAAGTCTCAAAACATTGTGCTAACTTGGTGTTAATACAGGTGTTTAATAAAAGTAAGACAGACATATTCAAATTTGAATCTATAATAAATGATAATTTAAAAACTGTTTTCTTCCACTAAGCCATAAAATTCAAGTAGCACCATGAATGGTGATTTGGTGGAGAGCATTTATCTGCTACTTTAGACTGGTTGAGAGTGTGACTCAGCCAGACCTTCTTTTTTTTTTTTTTTTTTTTTCACATCTTGTGTGCAGGAATCACTCATTAAGTAAGCATGGTCACACCAAGGTCAATAAGGTAACTTCTCTTAATATCAGTAGGTTAGAAATGTTGACATCATCAATCATTTTGAATTATATTGAAGGTGAGAAGTTGCATGGTTTATAGTGGATACTTTAACCCTGAAGCTTTACTGTTCTTCACATCCACCAGATCATAAATGCATGTGACTAGTATTTGAGGAGTGGGCATGATGAGTGGCACTATGGTTATAATGTAATTTGCTTCTTTTACTTGTTGTTTCCCATTACTGAAAATCAGTTTTTCTCTCTCATGAATGGTGAAAAGGAATCAGTTTTGCATTTATGGCATAATATGCTGCAGTTGGATACTGCTTGTCAGTACTATTTAGACTAAATACCAATAAAAGGTGCAAGAATGCTACCATCATCTGTTGCAAAATGCATGACAACAAATTATTATGCAATTATTTATGATCATGATCACTCCAAACACATCAATGATCATCTGAGATGCAGGGAGGATAATGGTTCTACCTGCTTAAATTGCAAAGTAGATTTTTTGCTGGAAATGCTAACTGCTGCAGCGCTCCTCTCTCCCTCCCCACACTCACCCCCTTTACTTTTGAAATGCAAGCAGTCTGGGTCAGTCACTCAGCCCGTCCGCCCACCTCCCATTCACATTACCTGCGCTCACTCACGCTCTTTCCATCTCTCCCTACCTTCCTCTCACTCTCTCTCTCTCTCTCTCTCTCTCTCTCTCTGTGGGTCTTTCAGCGTGCCCTGGTATGATCAAAGACAGCTTTGTGACACTGTGCGAGGCATCCAGGAAGCAGAAAACATCAAACCACTAAAGAGCAACTTGCAAAAAGACAGACACAGAGGGACAGAAGGACAGAGGCGCACATGCAAGTGTGTGTGTGTATGTGTGTGTGATAAACAAATGAATAAATTAACAAGACAAGAGAGAGGGATGACTCTACCTTCAGCACGTCGATGAAAGGTAGGAAGGTGTCCCTCTGAAGTCCGTTTTTGTACAGATCTGAAAGAGGAGGGGAGGGCCTGTATTAGAGCTGCTGTTTAGCCTCCTAATAATGTCATTCCCCCGCCACAGATTGGCAGATAAAGTGGCTATTGATGAACTGAAGGATGGGTGGGGAGGTACGACAAAAGGACTGGGACCAGGGGAGAAAAATGGATTTCTCTACCGGCAGCGGCAGCAACATAAAATTCATTACATTCCCAAACAATGGTGGCGAGAGAAAGGACTGTCGCCTTTTCAGCGTGGACAATGTCCACAGCAGCTCGCTGAATAGAGGTTTCAATTAGCTCGGCTGGAACAAATTACATCTGAAGTAGCATCCCTGATAGACAGATAAAACAGATACGGATTCACACACAAACACAGACAAAGACACACACACACACACACACACACACACACACACAGACTGATGTTTAAGCTCTCTCCAGCTTGCAAACAAGTGGTCGGTGGTTGTTGTTGATGTTTGGGCTTATACTTACTACAGTAGGACCTGACACACAAATAACACTCGCTTGATAACTCCTACATTGTAATGAACTGTGCTGTGTGGGAGACATGACTATTGCCAGTGTTAAAGAAAGAGTCCAAACATTTTTGGATATTGGATGCATTTGCTTCCCTGCTGAGAGTTAGATGAGAAGATCAATTCAACTGTTGCGTCTATACAGTAAATATGAAGCTACAACTAGCAGCTGGTTAGCTTAGCTTAGCATAGCGTTGAGACTGGAAACAGTTGGAAAGGTAAGAGAATCTACCTACCAGCACCTCTAAAGCTCACAAATTTACACATCATACTGTGTTTGTTAAATCTGTAGGAAAGTCTGGACTGTTTTTTGGCTGGGTGCAGTAACGTCCTGAAAGAGATATTTCTTAATTAGTGACTCAATTAGAGAGTGAGTCTTAGAGGGAGAGGGATTTTCTTGCTTTTGGACAGAGCCAGGCTAGCTGTTTCCAGTCTTTATGCTAAACTAAAATAAGTGACTCGGACAAGGGCTACCTGGTTAGCATGCTATCTTCAGTAGAAGACAAAAAGTGATAGAAATAGGTAGATAAAGAAGTTTGAAACAGTTTGATGAACTTGCGACTTTTCATCTGGACTGGTAAGTAAACAGCTGTTAACGCTAATGTTGACTATATAACAATAGTGAAAACTTGCAAATGGCTCCTTTACGACAGGCAAAAGGTTGAAAAGTGAGCTGAATCATACATGGAGCCAGCAAGTGGTTCATTTTTATGACTATTTCCCATGACACTGTGCATTTAATTACTATATAGTGACGCAACCAATGACGCTGTCAGTGAAAATTATTATTCATTTCAGGTAATCAAAATAGGCTCAGTCCATTAATATAAAGTGCATGTGAGATCCAGTGTACTGAAAGTGTTCCACTCCAAAAACACACCATGTTACCCTCACACTTACCCTCCTCATTAAATTCTATCAGTATATAAAAACAATAAAACACTACTTTAGCTGTTCTAGCAAAGGGGTTTTTTGATACCAGCATCTCCACATCAATAAAAGATGGAAAATGTATGCCTTTCATGTCCAGTTGTCTCTTATGGCTTTCAGTGTTCCATTAACCATGTAATTAATACCAAGTAGGCTCTCTATCAAGTTTGCATGGTTTGGTGCTTTGTTCTTAATAGCTAGTAAATATCAGAGACGCGTGTCTTTGTCTACGAGAGCCACCTTGCTGCCATCCACTTCGTACCCACTCAAGGTTTTGACACATCAACATCTTCCTCGCCAAAAATAAAAAAAAACGACATCAGATGGCGCATCATGCATTTATCTCCACCTTGATCACCGTCTTGCTCATTCTTTCTCCAGCCTTACTCACCTGGCAGTAAATGCAACATCAAAGCCTGTTTAAAGGTTGTGTCATGTCTCTAAAAAGGTGGGAGCTGTATCAAATGTTCCTTGCCTCTTTCTTCTGGTTAATTGCTGAAAAATGGGAAGTAGTTGGTATGGTCTTGTAGAGCTCAAATGATTCTTGCTGGAGCCAAGCACTTCTGGATAAAAGTATTTGTCAGTGATGCAGATGTATGTAAAGTAACTGTCAAATGTGTCGATGTTACTTTGGCGCAGGTGGAGGAGAAGCAGTTCAGGGAGTATTACTTGTCATTTCAGCTGCAGGCAGAGTATGGACTGTTTGCTGGATAGTTAGGTAGACCTGCAGGGCTAAGGCATTGTTTGACAGTAGTTTACTGTTAAGGGTTTTGCTCTGTCAGTCCCTCTGAGCTGAGCTTTTTATAAACCTAGAATTCCTTGCACTCTTGCATGCTTGCAATAAGTCGTAAAAGCTGACAAGTTAGCAGTTACCCTGAAACCGAGGTACAGACTGTTGCAAAACTCCTTTCCAACATACCATGCTTTATTCCCCAAGTGTCTCCAAAAGTACTGTGATTTAATTAAGTCAAATGATTAACTGATGGACTGTAAATCAAGAAACTGGAAACAACCTCATGACTAAGGCAAGATGGCCGAAGACATTTGGGGAAAACAGCATGGTGTGCTGGAGAGGCATTAAGCAAGTTAGCTTAGTTAGCAGTTAAACAGTTGGCAGTTAAAAGGATTTTCTACTTTCAACAAGTCTATCATTTATGAGTCAGTGCAGCATCTCAAAAAACTTGCTAGTATAAAAACGCCGTCGGTTCAACCTCTCAATCTGGCACAAAAAATCTGGCCGAAGAAAATGAAGTAGCAGAGTACTCTTGTGCAAGGCACTTGATTGCGTCGATAAGACTGGAAAAATCACTATATAAATGCAGTCCATTTATCATTTATTTCTAATGTGGGTAGGCCGTAACTCAGAGCAGGCTAAGTAAATGTTGCGGCTCTGATGCCTGTCATTCCTTTTCTTATAAAAAGGTTCTTTCTCTTACTCTCTCCACTTACTAATGGTCTTTTTAGGATGTGTGTGCCTTTTCTGCAAGAAAGGGTCACTTATGATGCTACCTGTGATTATTCAGTGCAAAGAGCATTATCCGAGTAACAGATTAACGTAACAGTTTTTGGAAGTAATTTTTTTTCACTCTTGGGGACAATGGTTCAAAACTACCCCAGTAGTAGCAGTAAGAGAAAATATTATCCGATACTCTATATGTTGTTGCTACTATTAATGTTGTAGTAGTTAAAGTGTTTCTGAGATGGTCCTTTACTTTTACTGCTAATTATTTATGAATCAGGGACTACAGAATTGATCTGTAACTTCACTTACAATAGTAAGCCTTTAAATGATTTCTGAAGATGTATTTCACATTAAACTCTTTGTATACATGGACTTGCAAAAAGAGCAGAAAATTTACTGAGCTGTGTGTTTAGTAACAAAAATAGAGATGATAAACAATGGCTTTAAGCAAATAAAAAGTACAATACTTGTGTTCTCAGACACTGGTCGTCGTACCATCAGGGGGTCTGTTGGAAGTGGCCACCACCACCACTCCGGTTTTGAACAGCGTCTCGAAGAGCTGCTTCAGGATCATGGCATCAGCGATGTCGGTCACCTGACAGAAGGGAACCAGAGAAGAAGAGGAGGCACATTCATGTACTGTATAATTTACCTTTTCTTGCCACACTGCATGCCCGTGTGTGTGTGTGTGTGTATGTATGTGTGTCTGAGGTCAAACCATGCTATTAACACTCCATGTTGATTAGTGTCATTCAGGTGTGCTCATTCAATCCTTTGTGTCTGGTCATGGCCATTCAACTCTTGCACACATCCACTCGCACATACACACGCACACACACCTCAACCACTTGAACTGACTGCAAATGGTCACGAAGCGGCTTTCTGCTGAGTACAAGTAGCTGAGGCAAAGCAGCGGACTCAAGCTAATCAACTGAGCAGACGTGAGAATGACCTGAACGCAAGCGAGGAAACAAGAAGAAGAAAAGAATAATGAAAACGGAGAAATGTGAATCCAGTCTCGGGTTATGATGGCAGACAAAGCTTCTATCCGAGATGGCCATATAAAAGGCATATAAAACGGTGTGTGTGTGTGTTGTAGACACAAGGCTTCACCAGGTTATAATACATTAATCCAATTCAACTGCGTTTTTCATCTACATCATTTCCACAAGTCCGCAATAAACAACGGTCAATGACAGCACTGAAGCAAGGACGTTTATGAGTCGCCGGCTGTTACATGAAGAGCTCTGACCTTTCTATTAGTAATCCAGTGCTCTCACTTTTGTTCTTATTCTCTCATCTCTCTCTCTTTCACCTCTGTTGTTCTTTTGAGCATCCATGAAGGGAGAAATCATGTTACCATGTGACTCACACTTGTCAAAGCAGCATGTATATAACACGGCTGATTAGGCACGACGGCTAACTGATACACGACGGGCCAATTGTAAAAGAAAATGAATTCATTTCAAGCTTCCCCATGCTCAAAGTTGTTAGCTTCATGCTAATTCTCATTTATATTCAATACATTAACAGATTAAGTGTTCTTCCAATATGACAAACAAATCAACTAAAAACAAATGACCTTCCTTTGCAAAATTACAGCTGTAAAGATAGTGCCTAATGTGGTGAGGAAACATTACGTCCCAGTAACACTGCTGAAGATTAAACTACTGACATTTTAAGTAAACTGAGTGAAAGAAATCTAGTTGCTTTTCTACCATTTAGAGAAAGGACAGTATGAAACCCTTTAAGAATTAGGATGTGTTAAATAAAAAGGAAGACTTTTCAGTCACGTATCTGTCCCGCCCTCTCCTCTTACTCCCTCTTACCTACTTTTCTGTATATAACAGGCACTTCTGATAGCCATACCCACAGCATATGCCTCCTTTCATAGTGTGGAGAGTCTTCTGCTTTTGCATATTAGCCCCACTGCCCTTGCCAATACTTGATTAACATTTGTGTTAAAGCCTTGATTTCACTAAGGAGAGGTGGCTAAGGGCATCAAATTAGTGTGTGTGTACTTGTGGGTGTGTGAGAGATTGTGTGCGTGTGCACGTAATGAGAATCAACAGAAAGCCAAGGCTCTGTGTCTCTCTGAAGGGGCCCCTATTTCCTCCAACCGCAGGATTTTATTTTCATTTCAAAAGAATCATTTAAAAATGACCTTTTATACAACCTGGATTTGTTTATTCATGTGCCCTCAACATGGGCATAGTATGAGGGGCAATATTGATTGCTGAATGAGTAGGGGGAGAGGGAAAGAGAATGGGTACCCACAGAATGAGAAAGGTGGAGGGGACCGATGTAGCACTTGTGGAACACAAAAATAATGGTGCAATCTCCGTCAGCCAATGCTGATATTTAAATGAGCATCCAATTACTCAAGCGGCTGTCAGTTTACAGCAAGGCACACGGGTGCCAAATTAAACCTCTTTTGATGTTACACCTCTTTATGTACACAACCTATGAGCAATTTCACAGAGGCTGCACAGTGACTGAGGCCCTGAGACAATGATGCTCAAGCGCTTTCTTCTCACTCTTCCTCCTCCTTTCTCGCTCTCTTCCCATCTTTCCATCTCGGACCTCTCAATGGCGAGTATTCATTAGGGGAGCCGGGTGGGGGCCGGAAAAGGAGGGAGGGGGGCTACAAATTACTGATAATGGCACGGCGCTAATGAAGAGAATGGAGAAATGTCATTAGCATTTAAGAGGATAAGATCCATCTGACCCACCGCCGCCAGTCGCTTTCTAGCTCCACTCACTTAAGGAAGCAGAAGAGTGCGACTGATACCCAGAGCCTCATTTGCATGGCTGAGTGGAGGAGGATGCTGATTGGTATAGACCGCACCCCACCACCCACCCACCCATCCACCCCCAACTCTCCCAACCTTGCAACCTCTTGTTTATGCATCACAAACAACGCGCACATGTCTGCTTGTTTCCCCTCCATTCACCGGTAGCAACAGTCGACAAGCGAAAACAGCAAAGCTGGCGACAGCAAACAAAACAAATCAATGAGAATGCACAAACAGCGCCGCAGTTTAAAATGTGAAAGACGGGTGGATGAAAGGAGCGGCTCTTGATCCTCGCAGATGCACAGAGAGTGATTAGAGAGAGCAACCGCACCTTCTGTGACCTTTGACCTGCCGGCATTAACTCTAATGATATCAGTAAGAGGAACAACATTGTGCTGCTAATAGATGTGTTTGGCTGCTAATGATAAAGACAGGAGCACATGTCTGTCTCTGTGCCAGTGAATGAATGATTACCTTAAAGAGAATAGAGAGAGATTCAGTAGTGGCTCTCTCTTCTGACACCAAATGTTAAAATAATGAGAAGTCTGCAGCACTAATGGCAGACGGTGCCCTTTAGCTGTGTATATCCAGTGGACAAGAACTAGAAATTACTTGGTTGTAAATGTTTGGGAGACAACCAACCATGTGAGTGTATGAACAAGCAACAGGAGATCACAGATTCAACTGACAGCTGCAGGTTTAAGGTATTCACAGTGAAAATGTTACACCTTGATACATGTGAGATTACACAATTCTACTTCTTCTGTGCCAGTAAATTACCTCTTTACTACATACTACTGCAGAAAGAGAATGTCGAGGAAGTCATTGTACAATTGTACTATATTCAAAAAGGCCACTAGGTGTCCCCAGTCCTGTTTTTGTGGGGACATCATGATCAGAAGCATCCAGTTGTCCAGACAGGGAAGACGCCGGCTGGTACTGAACACTAATAAGGAATAAAGTTTAAGCACAAAATACTGCACTTAGTTTAAACAAAGTGCAACTTTTCAAAAATGATCTTTGGCCTTATTAACAAAGAAGGGACACAAAATGAAGTTACTACCATCAAATTAACCCTTTGTTTCCTTCCTCATCACTGTTTTTGTATAAATGTGTGCCAAAGTCTCATGTCCAGGAGCTTTTTTCTGACAATGGGCCTTCGTTTGTGTTGGATCCTAATATGCAGTATGGTATATTTCTTGCCTTGCTATAACAGCTGAATACTGTATGCATGTTAATACCAGCATTTTTATAAAAATGTACTGTAAAATAATTTTGAACTTATTAAGTTAGCACATACTGAAAGATATCATGAGCATGGTGCAACATGCTGACATTTTAAGCATGGTCATTTGAGAGAATTTTTTTCTATATGCAAACTTGTTTAAACTTTAAAATCCCTTCAAAAAAAGGCACAATTATTATTTATACTGTATCCATTATGCCCCCCAAAGTCTTATTTCCATTAAATCTTTAGTGCATTTTAAAGTTTGTATTGGTATTTATCTAATTCTCCCACCTAACAGATGTTTCTTTGCAATGAAATACCTAAACATCAGGATACCCTTGTTATCTGGAATTGTACTAGCAATATATTTACTCTTATTAACTTATTATTTAGCACTAGTTTCAGAGGACCACTGTGTCAAGAAAACATATGCAGTTGATATAAAGAGTATCAAGAACACATAACTCAGAATTTGTATTGTCTTGTAATGTTCAAACGGACTTTAAGAACTGACAAACATACACACAAACAGTGCCTGTAGCACACTCGCTCACCTGAAACTCATCAAAACACAAGAGGCAGGTTTCATTGCTGATCTCCATGGCAACTGGTGATATGGGGTCATAGGTGAACATATTCCCTAGCCTTCGTTTTGGCAGGCTTTGTTTCCTCCGATGGATCCCTTTAAGCAGCACACAAACGTCAGGCACGTCTTAAAGCACACCTGCATCGGCAACCCCAAACCCACTGACAATACTGAATAAAGCAGTAATTTCACCTGTATGCATAATGGTAGACAATTAGCAAGAGGGCTTCAGGACAAACAGAGAGATAAATATAGGATCTCTAGTGTGTGGGGAGTCAGAAAACTTCCCTGAAGTCACAATAGCCAGCCTTCAATAGTTAGTGAAGTGGAGTGGGAGGAAAATACTAACTTCTGTGGATGTCCAACATGAAGCCATTGAAGTGAACTCTTTTTTTATGGGTGTTTTCCACACGGGAGTAAAACAAATCCATAAGCATGGTCTTCCCTGTGCCTGAAAGGGAGAGACGATGAGAAAAAAAAAGAAAGACATGTTTCCATCTTATAACCTGATCTCGGACATCTTTTAACAGAAAATGCCATATTGATGGTAAAATACATTTTCTATATGTGATCTTACCAACATTTCCGTAGATATAGAAGCCCTTGGGTGGTGGTGGAGCAGGTTCTTCCTTCAGTGGGAAAAGAGGAAAAATGAGGAAAAGACTGTTGTGTACTTGTTTTATATTAAATCTTTTAACAGCTGCTTGTCATCAAAAACAATTATATATAACAGTTAACCACAAATTGCTGGGGTTATCCAACTTTAATGCATAGATTAATTCCTCATTAAAAGCACAAAACACTATAGTCAGTGACCTAAATAAACTGCGTTATATTCATTACCATATAAGACTGAATCATCGTTTAATAAACAAAGTATGCTGAGGCATTAAGCCACCACTACAGTGTGAGGTTTCACATTCTCCAGACTAGCCCACTGCAGGGGAGGAAGACAAAGGGGATCTAATCAACAAGACAAGCCAGGGTTCCCACGAAAGAAAAGCATCATCAGAGGAACAATGGGGGGATTTGTCAGACAAAACGGAGAGGACTGGATGAGGCTCCATACAAGATGGAGTGGACTTGTCTGTGCAGCCTGTTTAGCGCTGCTAATTGTGATACGGTACTGTTGCATTGAGGTGCTGCTGGAAGTCATTGTGCTGCCTGCCTCCTATCATCAAAAGATCCCTGCTTCAAAAAAAAAAAAAAAAAAAAAAAAAAAAAAAAACGTCTTCTGTGTGACCGAGCTGAGAATATTGAGTAAAGCCAAATATCTCGAAAGAGGGCCCAAGCTATGTGAACCCATGTGTCGTCAGTTTAATTATGACATGTAATGATAACTGGAGGCATATTTGTATCGAGCAGGACAAGTTACCGATGTTTTACATTCGGTTTAATAACTGTGGTTGATGATTGTCCATGTCTGTAACTGGTCGATGCCAAATAGCTTTGGAATCAACTCAGCACTAAAGAGAAAGGATTGTCCTCTCAAAATTTAATTTGGTAACTATTTCATGGGGACGGTACTCAGTGTCCACTGCACTTGGTGTCCACCGCACAAGGAGCACTTGACTCTGGTAAATGCAGACAATGGCCGATTGAAAACTAAATGAAAAAACAAACTTGTTACCCATCCTCTCTCTCTGCTCTCTCTCTCTCCCCACTCCTCCCCTCCTCACTACCCCCTCCACCGCCCCTGCCACCCATTCCCTCCATCCACCGCCTGTCCTGAGCTGGAGTGAAATACTGGAAGAGCAACAAGCCTTTCCTGTCTGCTCTGGCATAACAGTATGTGACTTCTCCCTGACTTCCCAAGCTGCCCTCTGGCATGGTGGGGTAATTGTCAGTGGTGGCTGGTAGCCATTCTGCTTCGGCAGAGTGGAGAAGGACAAGGCTGTCCCTCAGCCGCTCTGTCTAGCTGAGCTCTGTGGCCTTGTCTCACCTCCTGATGGAGGATATATACTGGCACATGAGTGGAAAGTTCACATGCAGGACATGGGTACTTTGGCTTTAAAGTGACTTCAGGAAAACTGTGTTTGAACATGTTTATCTACAGCCAAAGACGCCATGTCTCTCACCAGGAAGGTTAATAGAGTGATTTTGTGAGTTAGTTTTAACTGGTATAACCGCCCTGTCCCGCCGGAGGCCTACCGTGTACAGGACGACTCTATGATGCACGTCTGACTTGAAGAGTGCGGCTCCCACTAAACAATGGCCCATTGTTAGCCGACCATCCGCAAAACCACGCCACATTGGGTCAATATTAAGTCAAGTGTACTCTCCTCACAGACTTGGTCAGTTAGTGAGGACAATGGCGGCACTTTCACAGAGAGAACAGACACCGAAAGGACAGCGGTATGACCTGATTCAAACCAGAATAATTGCATAAGTACTCCAGTCAGTGTGTATGTGTGTGAGAGCCAGAGCCAAGAAAAATAAGGTGCAAAAGGAGAGGAAGGGCGAAGGGGGTGGGGTGGGGGGATGGCGGTGGCGGTGTTGATAGCCTAACACCAAAGTATTTGTCAGAGTCCCAAATCAAAAGCAAAAAGGACAAGAATGGCCCAGACAATGGGGATCCCCTCATTACTGCATGGGGATGGTGAGAGAGTGAGAGGGGTGCCGGGACAGGCCCAGCGGGAGGTCTGCCCTGCTGCCTTCCAAAATCTCTGCCTAACCCTATGTGTTTGTGCCAGCCAACCAACAAAAAAAAAAAACACTCCCACCACCAAATACTAGACAGTCAGCTCCCCTGACCTAAAAACAACAACAGACCCCTACATTAGGCCGTTCCAAAACTCACATGCACAATACACTTCCCAGACCCCTACCCTCCCTTTGACCTGAGCCCCATGGCCACCATCAGTGATACAACTGGAGTACAGTGCAGTGGACTCTGTGAAGTCCCTCCATATGTTAGACGTCAATGGGGCTTTATAACAGAATGAGAGTCCAGATGCCACACTGCCAAAGGCTTTAAACATATCCATGCTGTCATGTAAATCCAAAACCGTGTCCAGAATCACTCCCTGTTTTCTACCACGTCCATTTTTTATTTCCACTATTTTATTTGAGTGCTTGATTTTTTTTTTTTTAATGTATGCCCTTTTCAGGTCATGATTTAGTGCCCTCAAAAATTCCTACAACTTAAAGAAAAGTTTTAGTTTAATATCCAGATGATGCAAAACTAAAACTACCCCAAATATCCAATTACTAGGTTGTCTCTCAGCTTTCAACAGATTCTCATGGTCTTCCTCAGTGGATGGAGTTTGCTCAGTTGTCAGTGAGATGAATATGCTGGCATACGGGTTCAGCAGCTGTTATAATATTACCGATGGGACTTTTGTTTTCATCATAACAGCTACAGACAGTTGTATGTCAGAATGCATCTCCAGGACAACAAAGCAGACTCACTCTGATGATGAACACTCTGTGAGATCAAATGAAAGCTCTGGGAAAAAGTTGGTAGGCGGACCTTGGGTTTGGAGACCACAGCACTGGCCTTGATTATAAAAGGACTGGTATTTGTGTTTCGGCTCATGTATGACTCAAAATACTGACCTAGAATATTACTTTTATTTTGAAAATGTAGCGTTTGGTTTTCCTAATTAATAATTTGGTTTAAGCCAAAAAAAGTTATTAATTTGATTTTAATATTGGCAAAAACACACATCCTTAAAAAGGTAAGATCTCCAGTCGTAGACCATCTTTCTCAGAGTTTGAAATAAATTGCAAGCTGTACATCCAAATCATGGCAGGGGTATACTAAAACCTTAATTGAACATATTTAATATTCTTGTCCACTGTGATGTCATTGTGATGTATTATTTACATAATTTCTTATCCCCTGGGTTGGTTTATTGTTGCTGCTATTTTTTCAATAAAGGAAAAAAATCCCAGCAACTGTTACCTGAAAATTGAATGAGAAAAATAACATAATTTTCTCTCTCCTATGTTAGCCATTACTAAAGTCAAAGAGAGAAGGGCTTGATGCTCTGGGAGAACTGGACAGACAGTCCTCACATCCTCACATCCTCTCACCCTCACATTTGGCTAAAATCACTGTGACACATCAGGCAGTTTGTTTGCTTTATATCACTGTGGTTAGGTCAGTGGTGTGGTCTTGATGAACTACCTTTAAGTTTTTTGGACACCACTCACATGACAAAAACTGATTAATAAGGGATAATCCAAATCATGATTATAAGAACACCGATTCCATACATATTTAAATTATGTTAAGAACCATGCAGGGGTTTCTTTATAACTAAGATTAAATTAAGAGATAAGATTTTAAACACATCTAAACAATGTCCACTGTATTTTGTAGGAGATCATTTCTCAGTATGACAACAGGGGATTGTATTGATGAGTATTATTGTATTATGACACAAGTCTGTACAATATCTCTGTTACCTTATCAGCCGATTCGCCACCTTTGTTTTCAGCTGTAGTAATGTCGGGGGCGTTATCTTTCTGAAGTTGACTCTTGACATCTTTTGAGTCTAGTCTTGGAGGAGATGGGCTCAGGTAGATGCTGTTACTGTACTTCTTCAGGGTACGTTGCAGCTGGGCCAGCTGCTGTAGGACATGTCTCTGCTGAGCATCTTTCCTCAGGGAACCACACTGAACGAGGTGATCATAGTGTCCAATAGTTTCAGCAAAGGTAGAAACAGCTGCTGGAGACTCAGAGGAGCAGGATGATGAAGATGAACTGCATGTCCTCCAACTAGTGTAACCTTGAAGTATTTCAAAAGACATCTGTGTTAATCCGCTTTTTTTAACCTCCTGATTCTATTAAATTCAATCAAACCGTGATTGGAAAGAGTGTGTAATCCAGGTGATTGGAAAGAGTGTGTAATCCAGGGGCTACTGGTGATGGCAGGTGTCAAAGTTAGCAAACCTGTATTACCTAAAACACGCTGTAACATCCTAAATCTCACACAGCCAAAACACCATTAAATACAACATGACGGGAAGACACTTACTTTTTCCCGTGCAACTGAATGTCAGACGGCAAATCTTCTTTGAGGTCAGCGCTGTATCTTTGAATAAAAACTTCATTGAGCATCTGACAGCTGCAGGCACCGTGCAAGCCGCCATGATGCTTCAAAACGCCAAAGCTTTATTGAGATTCACAGACACATACAAGCACAAGCATGGAGGGGATTTAAATGTGAGATGTCCTGAATACATGTTATCGAATATAATTTATTTACATTTAAATTCATAACTGTGGAACAAAGGGAATAAATGTTGCAAAGTCTTTGACCAATATAGATCCTTCTTTTTGTTTTGTTTTGTTTGTTTGCTTGTTTGTTTTTACCACAACATGATATTATTGTTTTATTTCTATTATTTCGCTTGTCGCTGTCAAAGAAAAGTCAATTTAGTAATTATTTCAAAATTTCAGCATCAAATCCTGCACATTTTAATTGTTTTGAACGCAGGATCACTTGTTATTTTCGCATTTTAGCAGCAATTATTGAACTCTGTGAACCGTGACTGGTCCAGATTATACCGATAAAAGTTATTCATTTGTGTCTATGGTTTAATAAACGAATCAAGCCAATGTGCTTGCTGGCGGGTTGTAAACAAACCGAGCAGCAGGTGTCCGGGTAGCGTCAGCTGAGCCTCAGCTGATCGGAAGTCTTTAATCCCGCGACAGTGACAGACAGACCAATACCGGAACTTAGGTGATGTACCTTCAACATAAAAGTTACAATTAAACTTTTAGGTGTGTGAAAGACAAAGTCATGTGGAAATGTCTACTTATAACTATACAGTATAATTAAACACAGACGTTCATCTAAATCAGTGCACTGTTCCCACAACACGTTTTTACTACGCGGACACAATAGTCTCCAAATGTTTTATTTTGGAGGTTAGCAGCGGAATGTACACATTTGTATTCTGGCTAACTTAACATTATCCCTAGCTGCTAGAAGGACAGGGGAGAAATGGCTGATACCATAGCTGATACAAGAAGGCTCTTCACTAAGCCTCAGAACTTAAATGACGCTTATGGACCCCCGAGTAATTTTCTAGAGATTGATGTGAGCAACCCTGAGACCGTCGGGGTTGGCAGGGGCAGATACACCACGTATGAAGTCAGACTGAAGGTGAGCCTACAGTAACAAGTGCTAATGACGTTAGCTAGCAAGCTAGCTACCTGAGCTAGCGACCATTTTTCCTTTGCTCAAAGAAAGTTATGACTTCCTGACACCAGGATTGCCACAGACAAAAAGAGGCGCATATTATCACACAGTCGACATTTAAATGTGTGAATGACGGGCTAAGAAGAGAGGTTACTGATGAAACGAGTTAGCCAACGCTAGCTAGCAGGCTACTGACACTCGTTAAAATGAACAGTGATTAGCTACCTGACATCAAACTAACGAGTTAACGTGACTGACATTTGCGTTGAGCCGAAGTCATTTGTCTAGATAGTAGTTAATAGGTCAAGGGGCTTTGGATAGCAATGTTAACAAGTACAGTACAGCACCTACTAATATTTGCTTAAACGTTAACAGGCAGTTTGCTATCGCTCTGCTAGAGGAGGGAATTTGTTTACATTAGCCTTAAGTGTTTTTCCATAGTGTCGTGACAGAGCAGTTAACACAAGAGTCATCTCTACTAATAAGATGGAGTTATATAACCGGTATAGCAAGCTGATGAAATGATTATGAAATAACCCCTCAGAAACGTTTACGTCTTCTTGAATAGTTCAGAGTTAAACTCTAGCCACACCCCATTTTCTGACTGGAAAGAATAGATAACAGCATTGTTCACACTTAATGACCAACTTCACTTGAAAGTAGGCCCGTGTGACCAAATGCTCAGCTCTCTGCTTCATCTACACATCATACTAATGCTACGTTAGTGGGGGATGTCTGTTAAGAATGCTTTAGTTTGTAGTTTTCCTGGTTTCACTGATGAATCATCAAGTTAATTCATACCAAGTAGAGTATTCTAGTATCAGGTTAAAAGGGGAACATAGCTCAGCAAGTCAGCTTCTCTGGAACTGTAGACAGGATGCTCTGTGATCCTCTCCTGCCTGGCCCACCCGCCCCACACAGCGCATTTCCTTCCTCCTACTCGACTGAGGAACTTGCAGGGGAGAACAAATGCTTTTCTTCTTAGAGAAGTTTCTGCCTTCCATTGGTTAACTAGTTGGTAGTTGGTAGTTGGCCAAAAATGTAAATACTTGAGAAATATGATATAGATTATTGGTTCTACTGTCCAGAAATGTGGCACAATTGAGCAATCAGTGAGGAGAGTAATGGTTGGATAAACACAGTTGTTGCAAAACACAGATGCTGTATCACTTGTGTATCATGTGCTTTTTCTCTGTCACACACACACACACACACACACACACACACACACACACACACACACACACACACACACACACACACACAACATCAAGTCATTTTAGACCACTTTTAACCAGCACCAGTTGAATTAACACATAGAAGAAAACGATCATGCTAAATTGTTGCCACACACAATTGACTGCCACTCCAATCTCCACTCAAGGTCCACTTATTTTGACCATATCACATGGTCTTCATCAGAAGATGGAGTTTGCTCAGTTGACATTGAACTGTAGATGTGTCAGACCTTCCATGTCAGGCTCCACCAAGTGAAGCCAATGTGAGTGGGAAGTCCTAGAGGAGCTCAGAGCAATAGAGAGTCTGAACATCTGCAGTTCAATCACCATGTTGCTGCTGCTGAAGACCGTGTGATATGGTAGAAAGCTCCAGAATAGAACCTTGGACTGAGAATTTTTTTCAGCTGCTGTTTCTTTTCAAGAGTTGTCAAACTAAACTTAGACATTATTTGAATACTTGCACTACATTGCAATGAAGAAAATCATTAGCCAACACAGGTAAAGTTTGTGCTATTCTATTTAAAATTACATCATTTTCAGAACTCTTGATTTTTATTCCTAAGACATTCTCATTTATTTTTCAGCATGTCTGTCACCACATACAATTTTGCATTAATTCAGCCATTCCAGCATTCTATTGTTTGCATCTTTAATGTGCAGGCTGCACTAAGAGTCTGAAATTGTCAGGCAGTCACTAGGCTCATCTGATTGCCTCATCTCTTATCTCTAAATTGTCATTTCAGTTGACTGACACCCCTGTAGTTAGTGGCCTGGAGTATTTAGATTGGATAGCAGCCCTCAAGTATTTATAGTTTCCCCTTACCTTAAAGAAATGGGTTGAGAGAAGAGAAGCCGTCTCCAGGCATTAGCGTTGAATATAAGGCTACTGTACTTGATTAGCGTGTAATAATTAGCATATGCGTGTAATCAGCATTATTGTGCACCTCATAGCCCTGTGTGACCCTGCTTTGCATAAGACCACAGAAGAAGCGGCGCATCCCTCACTTCTCAACAAACGTGGTGTCAACTTTGCTTTGCTTCTCTCCTTCTCCTTTCTTCAGCTTTCTTTAGAAGCATTTTACTCCATCTCCAGCATGTTAAGAGCGTTAGCCACAATGCCTAGGCCTGGAATGCATAGCATTTGCGTTAGTCTTTTTGTTTTCATCGTGCTCAAGATATTCAGAAATACTTTAATTTTATTATCTAATTTTGCTATACAGTTTCTGTTCATAACTCTTCCCTGTCCCCTGTTCTCACTGCTGTTCCGCTATCCATCCGAAATCGAGAGAGCCCTTGTGGCCGCACTGAGACAGTCTGCCTAATCCCCTCATTGAGAGAAGAGAAGAATGAAACAGGCCAGGGTGTGGGGGAGCTGGAGTGTTTATTCCCCAACCTTACCCGCACACCCCCCACCCATGGGAGGGCAGAAAGCCACCCCCTCACCAGCCTTCATCCCATTGCCCACTTATCCCATTTCACTCCCAGCTGTGTGCAGTCAGTTGCCTTGTTCATAGTGTGGTTACCATAGTCCCTGTGATGACTAAATGTGGTTTGCATATAATGTAAACACGAGATCAGGGTAGAATTCTTCCTATGATATTGCAAAGTTTCCCTTGAGTCTCTTTAAATGAATGTCAGATTATGCATTTGACTTGTGACTCACTGGTAGCGTCTGAATTTTTATGATGAAGCAAATTGTATAAGGATTGGATTATCATGTGGGAAGCCAACAGTTTGCTGTGTGGCACAGTTGTTACACCTTACAGTCACATGTTGACAGCCAGGCTTGCATTTGGTGTTTAAAATCAGTGGGATCAATCCACTTCTTTCAGTCAGGTTTTGAAAAGGTGGAAGCTAAGTTCATACTGAAAGGAGGCGGATATCTCATTTTGCCTGAGCGGACTTGTAATGTCCAGGGTCGTGTTGAAACAATGGATTTTTGTTCTCAATCTAAATCCCTTCGTCTTAAGTGTAGTTTCTGAAATTGAAAAAATGTTTTTTTTTTTCCTGCGTCTACACATGTTTTTCATGCTTTTCATGTTCCTAATGGTTCCAAAAGTTATTCAGCAGGGTCCATCACCTAAATGGTTTTTTGGTTGTTACTGGTTTGAGAGGAACCCCTCAAGCAGCACAGTGTACGCATTTGGATCCTCAGTAAACAGGGGATTGGAGTTGGGGTGTGTATGTGTGTGTGTGAATGGGGGGGGTGTTGGGTATTATCAAAATTTCTTGTCTTTAGTTGGTTCCCATCTCATCCAGAGAGCACATTCAGGGGAGCGAACTTTGGGATCTCACTTTGTTTATGGATAGGAGTACATAAAAGGCCTCTTATAGCTCTGTCTCTCACTCTCACTCAGTCTTCTACCCCTCCTCTTCTCTACTCCCATAGCTTCTCCCTCTCTCTTTCTTTCTCTTTTCCATTTGGGCATTGGGGCGGGGGCCTTTGGTCATTAATAAAATGGGGAGAGATGGGGAGTGGGTGTGTGTGTGGGGGGGCGCTTGTCAGGCACAGTCAAGTGTAATCCAAAGTCTACAGCATCCTCTTCGACAACTATTTTAATGGAAATAGGGAACATATTGTATCAAGGCTACCATATCCTACTTGAAATGACAGTATCAAAAGTGGGAGTTGATACTATGGCAACAAAGCAGCTTTTTGCCAGCTAGGCGAGTCTAGGCTGTCAGGCCACAGGGGCCGGCAAGCACGGGAACGAGTGAGAGAGTACATGGAGAGGCGAGAGCAAAAGACCCATAGCCTTAACGCTTTTGTGCCTTGTCTTTTTTTCCCCATTTTAGAATATGATGCAATGAGATGGTATTATGTTGCCATTTTTAATGCTATTATTCTGAAAGGAGAGTATATGGGAGGGGTAAGAAGGGGGCATGGGGGAGGTTTAGGATGCACACTCTCAAACTTGACTTAATCCATCCTGCTAAAAGCTAATGCATGGTGGCCTTGAACTATTCTCTCAGGAGATGAGTGATCTTTGTCCCCTCTCTCCCTCTTTCTCTGTCTCGCTGTTTTTAAGGGTTCTGCCTCTTTTCAACCCATTTTCAATGAGCCTTAGGTATTGTGTCCCACACATTATGAATCACATGCTCTTCCTATAGAGCATAAATTGCATCTTGTACACTCGAAATGGAAAGTGAAGCTAGGAGGTCTACTATGAAAGAGGTACATCTAGCTTTATGCTCCTTTGTTAAAAGATGCAACATTTTCTCTTTTTACGCCTGCTTTTAATATAACCATTAGTTATATTAAGCTTATTTGGCTTTTCTAAATTTTTGGATTTCATTTTTGCCCCTCTGTAACTTTACTTTCTTTCATCTCCCTCTTATATTGTTATTCTGTCCCTATCAAAGTGAGCAGGGCAAAGTGTGCCTTTTTAGACAATTAATGAAATGCTAAGACCCGGCTGGGTCTGGGCTGGTCCCATGTCCCAATCACTGCAGGGGCCAGTAAGTTGAGACAACCGGGCCTTAACCTCTAACCAGCCATGAAGAGAACAGAGGCCAGGGAAACATGATCTTTGACTTGTAGAGCTCTCACGCACCGTCTCTTTGTGTGTGTGTGTGTGTGTGTGTGTGTGTGTGTGTGTGTGTGTGTGTGTGTGTGTGTGTGTGTGTGTGTGTGTGTGTGTGTGTGTGTGTGTGTGTGTGTGTGTGTATATATGTGCGTGTGTGTGCGTATATGTGCGTGCGTATATGTGCATGTGCGTGTGTATATGTGCATGTGCATGTGTATGTGTGAGAGAGAGAGAGTGAGTCAGACCTCTCACTTTTCAGTTCTGTCGTTTTCGTTCCTCCCCTTGTCCTACAAGGCCAATCTCTTAATCACAGGGTTTGAGAGGGAGAGATGATTGAAAGGCCAGGTGACTTTCTTTCCTTACATTCTCACTGCTAACCTCATTGTCTTGTGATGGTTCGACTATGTGTGTACAAACAAGCGTGAACGCTTTGGGCTATTATATTTACATTGTTAACTGTATGACACCTGTGCATGTATGCTTGGTGTACGTCAGTGTGTGCTTGCGCGCGGTTAAGTGTTTTCTGTGTGCACATGATGGGATTAGAGTCACGGCGGTGGCAGATTACCTGTAACTGTGATCTGTTGTAGTGGGGATTAACTTTGCGGCGCTCCATGCTGTGAGGTAACATGACGCAGCAGGGACAGACCATGGTGAGAGGAGAGTGGAGTTAATGCTAGAGCACTGGGGCGATAAAGCTAAGATAATCCACTTCTCCTGTGACCTGAGAAAAGAGGAGGAGTGAGGGGCTCATTGACAGCTTCACCTGGAGAGAACTTTAAATAAGTGGGAGAGGGAAGGTTTCAGGGCTGGTGAGTCAAATTAAAACTTAGTGGGAAAGAGGGAGTGGCAGGGACTCAATGAGTTTACAGGCAGGGTAAGGAAGTACTCCTATTATTGTGTCATCTTAACCAGGCTATTTCACCAGTCTTAAGGATTTAATCACAGCAAATATGACCTTGTTGAAGAGAGCTGTGGTAATCGGCAAAATAACAAATTATTTTTTGCATGTATAGAGCAAAGTGATTTCTGCCTGTGGTTTGATTCTATGCAGGCATCACAATGGTCACAGAAAGACCTGGATACAAAATTTTATTTGTTTAAAAAAAAAGCTTTAAGGTAAGGTTAAACTCAGGTCATGTTGTGAGAGGAAAGCAATGTTCATGTTAAAGCTAACACGGAAGTTGAGGCCTAATTATAAGAGTTTGAAAACCTTGATAGATTTTGAAATCAGATGGCATCATGCATAAGGAGAAATTTAAGGTAATTATCGACGCTTAACTCACCAACACACCGAGCACAATAAAATGAAATAGAAAACAAGAAAATGACCTCACAACAAAGGTGTTATTAAATTAGGATAGTAAAATTTTCTTTCCAGTACGAACATAACTTCCTCCACTGTAATGAAGGATACACACAAGAAAGGATGTAATTACAACCCTGAAATGGGCATTCGTTAAAAACAGAAGCTCCACTGTGCAGCATTGATGCACAAACATGGAAGACTGTTAAGAAAGAAACTTTACCTGCGACATCATCACAAAAGTCAAGGTCTAAAGTTTGGACAAATCAATCTGGAAAAGCCAGTGTGGTCTGATGACAAGCCTCCACATGACTCTTCCGTGTAGACGCTGTTTGTGCAGTCAACGCTGCACAGTGGAGTGGTGCACCATCACTCCTGTGTCAGTTAAACCTTCCTGCAGCTCCTTTGCAGTCATATAGGGCTTTTGCTTTGTCTTTCTTCCTAGCAGATATAGATTTTATTCGAAAGTTTTCTTGGTGTTCCACAGTTCCTCTCAACTGCCATTTCTTAATGACATTTTGAACAGTTACAAGCATATATACAGTCTAATATAATCCAGTACAATAGCTCCTCCACATATTCTACCTTCATGAAAGGTATTATTTCGTATATGTATATTAATTACTGTGGTCACAGTGGTGGTGTTGTACTGGACTGCATTATATTGAAATGTGTTTCTAATATTCTTCCACCTCATGTTTGTAAATCTAATGGGCAAACCATGAGAAACACATCTTAATATAATGTAGTCTAGTTCAACAGCACTGCAACTTCAATAATAAACATATAGTTCAATTATTAAATGTCTCATCGTGTCAAATTATCTTTGTAAAGGTAGAATTTATGGCTGAGCTGTTGTGTTGGATTGCACTGGATTTTACGGGTGTACCCACTAAAGTAGCCACTGGCTCTGTATTTTAATAATTACCATTAGTAATGTGTGTTTTACAGTCAAACATGATATCAGAATCATATTGACTTTGTGCAGTTCTCGTCATCATTATAACTATAACTATATTTTTTACGAAATTTGTTTGCTTTTTCCTACCAATTCTGTGTGGAATCCATAATTTTGAAGACTGAGGAGGGGACAGAGCAGAAAGGGAAGAAAACAAATGCCCATATTTTCCCCATTGAAACATGACAAGAGGAGTCTCAAGGGCAGAAAATCTGACTTATTATCACAGAGCAAGGGAAATAAAGAGGGAAAAAACTGAAAGGGAGAGACCATGAGAGCGAAAAGACCACTCCTGCTCTCCCTCCTCCTCAATTAGTCCTGCACAGACCAGATGAAGCTCCCAACCTCTCCAGTTTTTCTTTTCTTCCTTTATACCCCCTCTCCTTTCTTTTTTGTTCAGCCATTTACTCAGCCTTCTAGTTAACTCTCCATCCCCTTTACTGCACAGTCGCACAGTCACAGTCGTCTGCTCATCGATCAGTCTGCTGCTCCTACTGTATTCATGCTGCATCTACTTGCTCAATTGCTTTGCTCTTGTGATTCCTCCTCCTTCCATGAATTCTGACCTTCTCTGAATGTGGCCTGCCAATGAAATGCTCATTCACTCTCTCCTTGTTTGTACATTGTCATGGGATGGCCATGTTCTGCCAGGACTAGTGAAGAGGTTTGGCATTGTGCTGTAATGTGCTGTTTGCTTCAGTGTTCTCTGTCAATGTCGAAACATCTCCTCTTTTTAATATGAAATTCACTCTCAAGTGCTTGTCAACAGCAACTTGGAATTATGTGCACATCTGTGCATTGTCGTACACGAACACATCAAACAACACACACAAAAAAAAAAGAAGAAAAAACTCAAAACATTCTCTGTGCAATAGACCTTGGTGAGCAAAACATAAGTGAACTTTTTTTTTTTTTGCCTGGAGGCCAGTTTCAATTTTTCTATTCAGTTTGGTTCAATTTGGTTTCAATTTTTTTTCCCCTCCTTTTTATTATTTTAATAAAGTCAGAGTAGATACCACAAGGATAAAGCTGTAACCAATGCAATAATAATTTTCTGCTGTTATTACTAGTGGCACAGGAAATACAAGCTGTGAGTTTGTTTGTAGTTTTAAAATCATAGTTTGGGACATCTTTAAACATGTTTCTGGTCAACAGTACAATCACAAGGTGTATTAACCCATAGGTAACCATGGCAACAATAGTGGTACATTGCCCATTAACCTTAATGGTGGTTATACTATTTACAAAACAAACTTATGCCAAGGTGTTCCAGTGCACCTGAAATAATGAAGTCAGGTCTGTGATACAAAGGGAAGTAGGGCTGCACTTAGATTATTTTCATTATGGATTTATCTGTTGATTATTTTCTCAGTGGGATATATAATGTAGAATGCCCATCATAGTGTCCTAAAGCCTGAGGTAATGTCTTCATTCATAAACCAAAACATATTCAGTTAACTTAATAATAATCTTCACAGCTGAGAAGCTTGGTATTTTTGCTGAATATTAAAAGGATAAATGTTTGCCGGTTCATTTTCTGTTGATGGATTAATCAATTTGTTGTTCCACCTTTGAAGGGAAGCATCCATTAGTTTATTATACTGGCACACTTTGTTTATTGTTACTACTATAAAACAGCCATCATGCATGAAGAAAAAATTTAATGTGTGGCAAGAAAACCCTACCTCTATAAATACATTTGAAATATAGAGCTGAAATGATTAGTCATGGAACAACAAAAATGAATTATCAACTATTTTGGTAACAGATTAAGTTATCATTTTAGAAACAAACATGTCAACAGTTATTTCCTTTCAGTATCTCAAATCTGAGCTTTTGATGCCAAGATGCCACCTTAGGCTTTGGGAAATTGTGACACTATTCTCACATATTTTAAAGAGTAAACACTCAATTAATTGAAAAAACTGATAGCCATATTAATCAATAATAAACATAATACACCACACAAAGAAAAGTGTGTACACAACAATTTGATGTAAATCAAGGCAACTCCTACTAGTGACAGCTGTAACAGTTTGCCACCTGTGTGTGTGTGTGTGTGTGTGTGTGTGTGTGTGTGTGTGTGTGTGTGTGTGTGTGTGTGTGTGTGTGTGTGTGTGTGTGTGTGTGTCC